CTGTGTATTAACAATGACTGTTGTAAATAGACTGTTAGACAGTACATACATGTCTCAGGTTCATTAAATTATTGGTTTTAACTAAAAATTTAGTTATTTTCTTTGGTTTGTTTGGTCGGGTTAAATCCATTTTGGGCTGGTAACATTTTGAAGTTACCAGCCCTGATGTCTGGCTGGATTTTTAACTTATTTCATACACTGCTGATAGTCATGTATATGTAGTGACATAATATATATTTGTATTTTGTTTACAGATCGAACAACATCAGAGTACGGGGCGATCATGATGTATCACCTAGACGTGTCCACGCATCAAGCGTGACGTACGAAACCCTCCATAGATACTGGGAAATTACTGATGACAATGTTGGAGCTTCTTTCGCTGCAGTTATGACATCAAAGGACACCACTGACGAGGCAGATGGTGCCATGCCTGCTCTTGCAGACGTTGTCGGTCCAAACGTTGACGAGCAGACCAGTCATAATGAAGCACCAGAAGGTTTAGTTTGGAATTATTGCTTATAATCTCACTTAGGGACAGATAGAGTTTCCGAGACAAAAACACGTGATCGTGAGACAAGAATACTTGTCAGGTACTTAACACCTTCTAATGAATTACGTCAGCTTCAAGGAACAACTAGTTTGGATCATTGGCCAATGCAGCCTTCTTCGGGGACAAAAGACACAACAGTGAATACCATTTGAACTGAACACTGACATTCAGTGACGTTACCAGTTGTCTGGGAAAAGGATACTCGTTCAACATATTCTATACTGTGCAACCATTATCAGGTCACCTGTGTGCCTTGTACACTCTAGTTCCTTTTTAATTTAATGTCTGGACAGGTAGCTGACTTGAAAACGTATATTGTTTAAATTTGTCAATATTTGTAAATGTCTCAGCAACATGACCGTTTCGATAATTAATGCCCGGCCATTCACTGTGAACTGCCTGTACAGGAGATGCACCTGTTAGGTCGTTCCTATATCACCACCTTGGACCAATGAATATCTTTTGTCTGAGTGACTGGTATATTTTGTCAGACTGTCCGTTGGGGTTGTATATAGCTTATTCTAGGCAACCAATGGACTTTGAACCAACATGAGTTGGTCCCACTGAGGAAATGTCCCAGTGTATCTTATCTTGCAGTGCGTGTTGGTCAAAAGTCAAAGTCAAAGATGTTTATTGTACAAAAGGCCTCCGGCCCAAATACATTGGAGTTATACATATGCATTATGCATATGGTGCAATAAGTAGTAATTAGTGATCCAAACAGCAAATCATGATACAGACAGTAAATTATGTACAAGTAGTGAAATACGATGGACCTACAACACTTTTTATTAGACTGTTACTTTTAATAAGAGCATAATTGATATAGTACGACAGCTTTATTATTACATGCTGGTCAGTTGATGAAAGAAGTAGTTTAAATGCTAATGTAGGTGGCTTACATAGATAATAATATTCAGCTATATATTTAGTACGCAAATCTTTATACAAAGGACATACAAGTAAAAAATGGATTTCATTTTCCACATCTATATTACACAGTTGGCACATTCTCTTGCATCGTTCAATATAAAAATGTCTTCCTTCGTTTACCATTATGTTGATCAAACCTAACCTAAAACGTACAAATGGATATCTTAATTTCTTTGATGTTAAAAACGACAGATATTTCTCCGGCTGGAGTAGTGATTTGTATATTCGTACCGTGAACTATTATGTATCGAATACCATTCTTGATTAAATATATTAAGACTTCTTTCTCGAAACTGAGTTAAAAACAAACTTGCAACACCAACTGACTGACTTAACCATACAAAACCATAACCATGTGAAAACAGAAGATTTCTTACATAAGATGCCCACGTCCCTTTACCAATGTTGTCCAAATGAACAAGCATGTTATAAGCCTTTTCGGGTAATCTATGCTCTTGCATACACAATATCTTAACCAGAATTTTATACATCGAATATGAGCATTTATATACAGGGGATACCTCCCACATTCACCGTACACCATACAATTCGGTGTAGAGGGTCCTACATTTAAAAATGTCCTACAGGCCATCAGGTGTATTTTTTCTATGCATTCATACCTCTGGAATCCCCAAATCTCGGATCCATACAAAAGAATAGGCTGAATTTGACAATCAAATAGTTTAAAGTAAATACTGGGCGTCAACACACCAATTTTACACAAGGCAGATAAAAGACTTATCAACGAATGGTCAATACTTCCATGAACGAACTGAATTTGCTTTATGTCGTACAATTATTTCGGAATTAATCATTTCCGACGTTTGAAAATTTTGGGGCGATTTACATCAACTTAGTTGCAACATTGTTTTTAATTTTGCAGGAAATATAAAAGAGAAAAAATCGTATACATTTGTGCCATAGCGGTTGTTCTATCTGAAATGTTTGACTTGTTGTTGTTTGGCACTAAAGACGTTTCTGTGTTGTGTCTGTGCCGACGTTCCGTATTATGGTGGCTCTGTAGGCATGAAACGTGTTTCTATGTGCTTTGGATCTTGGTCGCATATTCTATCGTTCTGTTCTCTACATCACAACGAAGTAGAGGTACAACGAGATTGCTGGAATACAGCTAAAAGCCGCATAAAACTTAAAACTCATTCTCACTGAATACATGGATTATATATAACTGCATCTTCTACTAAAGAAGTTGTCACCCATAGAGCATCGTGAGTTTATTGATGTAAGACACCGAAGTGTTGGTGAGCAACAGCTCCTGTTATATTTCCTTGTTTCCCTTCTTTTCTAACTGGTCTAGTTTAGTGTAAACACTGACACTTCTCTAATGTATCATATGTTCTGTCCGACACATGCAATGCCAAAATGGAACTGTGACTTCGTGTCGCTTTAGCTTTTAAAGTCTACTGTGATCTGATTTCTTGAGGAAATAATCATTATTTTTGAACGCCGTTTAAAAAATAATATTTGTATGTGTAATACACAAAATATGTTATATACAATAACCATCAAATCGCCAATTGCCTTCCACTGATTTACCAACCTGAACTTGAAATTAAGGAGACAAATGAGACAGCTTCAACTGTTGCATATTTAGATCAATGCATAAAGATTCAGAGTGACAAAAAAACTCTCCTCAAGTCTGTATGACAAAAGGGATGATTTCAACTTTCCAATAGTCAAATTCCCTTTCATGTTGAGCAATATTCCAACAGCTCCAGCCTTTGGTGTTTACATTTCACAACTTTTGACGTACAATTGAGGGTGCTCTTTTTCTCAGGATTTCGAAGAGCGTCATGCTACTCTTGCTCAGAAGTTGTTTCATCAAGGTTACAACAAATGAGTTTCTTGAAAAAATATACAATCATTATAATATATTCATTAATTACTATTTACAAACAGAACATGTCATAGCATAAAATTCTAAAACAGGCAATCTGTCATTCACGGTACATAGCTACAAATTATGATACAGATTAATTTCCCTTAAGTAGTTCAAAATGGTAGTCAGGTGGAGGAAATGTGCAAATTCGATGCATTAGTGACAAAAAATTATGTCCGAGCAATTCAAAATGTTGACTTACACCATACGTTCCCGAATTATTTCAGGTGAACAAATGACTAGACTTAGCATATGTTTATGACGAGTGCCGACGGTGGGGCAGGATACGCTCACCTTTTCGCGAACACCTGGTATCATCACTATTTCATAGTGATTCATAAACACTGTCATAGTATCGCATGGTGACAATCACTGGATTGTCTGGTTCAGACCCGATTTATTTACAAACAACATCATAAAGCTGTAACACTGTTGAAACAAATATCATGATATAGTCACAATTGTACAATCGACTCTGTTTTTTTTGGCAGAGATTTCTTATGAATGTGGAAAGGGTTTTGTCGCTTCTATTTGTAGTGGAATATTCGCATGTATCTTTCCTTATGATGGACACACCCGTGTCTGTCTAAGTAGAAACGACAATACCCTTAAGAGGTCTCTGCTACAATTCTGACTACATCGTGAGTATGTGTTTGACGCCGCATTCAGCTGTATTAGTAATAGCAATTGCCTGCTCACGGCGCTACGTACATTACTATGCCCGGTCATAGGACACTATCATACTTTCCGATATATTTTTTCAACTCCCTGGGGAGTATACAACCATGTTGCCTGTAAGGCGTAATGAACTAAACACTCATTTTTCCAGCTCATCCTCACGGATACCCATTTTACAGCTGGTTGAACTGAGACAATGTACCCACCTCGGGACCCGAACCTCCACGGGTGCATCCACCAGGGATCAAACCCCGGCCTTCAGCGTGATAGGCAGACGCCTTACCACTGCTCTATAGCGCTCCACATGAGCTGTACAGCTATACGATGCAGTCTGTAAACAATCGAACTGAACCAGACAGTCCAGTGATTGACACCAGGAGATACGATGGAGCGTGTAGATGAGACACCAGGAGCGTGTAGATGATAAAAAGTGGCACATAATTAGATGAGGCCAGGTGGGGACCAAGAACGACAAATACAACGGGTGATGAAGCCAATAAACAGGTGGGATTACGTTGTGAATACAAGCTGATAGGGTGCTATGAGTCTATAGTCTTATTCTTCGTAGGCTGGTGGTATGTAGTACCCTTAGTATGTTTTGTTCAAAGGTTGTGCCGGCGAATTTCGATGGATTCAAAATGTTTTGCGTGAAGTCCTGATTCCTTGTGAAAAGCAATACAACCATATAAATCAAACTATTTTTTAATCTATAAAAATCATAACTAAAGTAGCAAAACAACAAATGAAATGTATTAATGTTCAAAGGTAATACACATGCTATATCTTGAAATACAACTGTTTTTAAAAAGCACAAGGCACAATTTTTTTATATTTCAACGTTTAGCTTAAAAACGGTGTAATAATCTACATCGAGGCGTCGCGCAATAGACAAGAGGTTGTTATCGATAAAATCATTTCAGTAATCATGAGAATATTCGTATGCTTTCATCCTTATCATAAACCCATGTCTCTGAAATGCTGCTTCCCTACACAGAATTTCACAGACCAAGTTCTTCTACATCTGAACATGGAGTTGTAACTCTGGTCATCAGTTCTAGCAGGGATACTCTACAACCTTATAGAGTCTCCCTGGTTCTAGAGACAACGAAACAAGGAATAAGGTTTCCCCTTAAGTTGCAGTGTACAAAGCTGAAAATTCCACAAGAAATTTCTTTGATAATTTTAAAGATGATCATAAGGATAAGTATTTGATTTAAGTATTTAAGTACCTTTGCTTGACCCAGCAGTGAAGATCATTCTTATTTATTTCGATCTTGAATCGCACATAAGTTGACTAATTGAAAGCAAATACAAAATCACATGGAAAGCATTACTTGAAAGCATAAAGACACTGCAATAAAACGATATGGTTGAAATAGCACAAATAACATATCTGAATACTAAAAATGCACCGTGAAACCACGTTATTGAATACAATATTTTCGTTACGGGAAGAACCATGTGGTTGTGAATAACCATATTTGTTTAGGGCAAAAAATTGAGATGAGCTGAAACACTGAGCCATATTTAATCACGAACTTCCTGTTAGACGCTTATGGCGACAGGTCGCTAGACAAATCAGCTCCCGTAAACCACGTGTATTTGTTTACAAACAGAGAACACGTGACACCAACCGGATGTTTCGGATTTTGAAGGTGAAGGACACACAGCACATGTTTTCTGAACATTTATCACCTCACAAGTATGAACTCTGTTTCAATGTAAGTAAGATTACTTATGATAACTTCTAAAACGTGGCTTTCATGTAAGAAACGGTAATGTTCGTTGATTATCCCAGAGCAACTGGCTAACTACAGTTTTCATTTATGATTCGATTATACATGCAATGACTATGTATGAGTTCTGCATGAGACAGAAAGTTGAGAAAACCCGAGTTTCATGATGTATACTTATTATTTGTGTGGCGGACACGATATCCAGTCAGGAAGCAAACTTCCTATGTACTTGTATAATTTCTTATGTTTGTTTGTTTTTGACAAAATATGCATTTTCCATCTCAGAAAAACAGTGTACAGTTTTGAAAATAGTTGCTATAAGATGTATACAACATTTTATCCTCATGACAAACTCAAAAGGAAAATTTAAGATAGTATCAATAAATTGTAGAGGCTTAAATAATAGTTTCAAAAGGAAACATGTTTTCAGGTTATTAAAAAATTAAAAGGCGCATATTTATTGCTTGCAAGATGTGCATTTCACAGCTGTCCAAGAACAAATCATAAAACAGCAGTGGGGTTATAAAAAATGCTACATTAATCCATTTAGAAGTAATGCAAGAGGTACAGCAATCTTATTTAATAATACCTTTGAATTTAAAGTACTACAATGCAAGTTTGATAAAGAAGATGGTAACTATGTAGCAGTAGATGTTAGCATTGATGATAAGATATTTACTGTAATCAATCTCTATGGGCCTAATTCTGATAAACCTGAGTTTATTAGGAAAATAAAAGAAATTCCTGGGAATTTAACATGTGATAAACTTATTATATGTGGAGATTGGAATTTAGTTTTAGATCCTGATAAAGATACTTACAATTATAAACATTTAAATAACCCTAAAGCAAGACAGGAATTACTCAAAACAATTGATATATTAGATCTTTAAGACCCATGGCGAGAGTTTTACCCATCAGCTCGAAGATTCACCTGGCGACAACCAACACCATTAAAGCAAGCTCGTTTAGACTATTTTCTAGTTTCCCATAATATTCTCCAGTCCACTGAGAAAAGTGATATCATGTATCTCTTACAGTTTCACTTTCGGACATGCAAAGGGGAAAAGGATTCTGGAAATTCAATAATTCATTACTAAAGGACAAGGAATATGTAGAAATGATTTAAAAAACAATAAAAAACACTCTTGAACAATACGAAGACAAAACTGTTAAAGATGGAAAGATGTTTACAATAAATGATCAGTTATTATGGGAGATGTTACTTTTAAATATTAGAGGAACATCAATACTTTTTTCATCCACTCGTAAAAAAGAATATCTAGCATTGGAATCGAATCTAGAACAGAAACTAAGTGAAATTGAGATTAAACTGGGAGCTAGTAAACACTCAGACGTATTACTAGAAGAATACAAATCAACTAAAGTGAGTGAGTGGGTGAGTTAGAATTTAACGTCACCTCGGCAATATTTAACAAATCAACTAAACTTGAATTAGAAACTTACATAAAGTAAAAACACAAGGCATCTTTATTAGATCAAAAGCCAAGTGGATAGAACATGGAAAAAAACGATCCAATTACTTTTTAAAATTAGAAAGTAGAAATTTTCTAACTAAATCTATCTCAGCTCTTGAAAAAACAGATGGAACATTATTGAAGAAACAACATGAAATCATTCAAGAAGTGAAACATTTTTATGAAAAACTGTATGAAACTAAAGACTGTACACAGATTGATCTGGAAAACCTTTTTGCTAAAGTATCAGTGCCTAGGTTAGACTGTCAAACATCACTTTCCTTAGAAGGGGAGCTGACCTATAATGAAGTACTTGAAGCACTAAAAAAATGAAAAATGATAAGAGTCCTGGCCCAGATGGCTTCACAGCAGAATTTTTAACGTTCTTTTGGTTAGACCTCAATAAATATTTGATAAATGCTTTAAATTATGCAGATAAAACAGGGGCCTTATCTACTACCCAAAAACAAGGTCTAATCACTTGCTTGCCTAAAGAAAACAAATCAAAACTCTTTCTAAAAAAAACTTGGCGCCCTATTACTCTTTTAAATACTACTTATAAATTAGCTGCATCGACAATTGCAAATAGAATAAAGCCAATCTTACCACTGATTATCCATGAGGATCAAAAGGGTTTTGTATCGGGTAGATATATAGGTGAAGTGACTAGACTTATTTATGATATATTAGACTATACAGAATCATACCAGATACCAGGCTTACTACTACTTATTGATTTTGAAAAGGCATTTGATTCTGTGGATAGAAAATTTATACATAATGTACTTAACTTTTTCCGCTTTGGGCCCAGTATTTAAAATTGGATAAAATTATTTTTCGAAAACATTGAAACAAGTGTTTTGGTTAATGGTTTTGCAAGCCCGTTCTTTAAGGTTACAAGAGGTTGTCGTCAGGGGGATCCTTTATCACCATATATCTTTATATTATGGGCAGAAATCCCAGCAATAATGTTAAGAAATAATAAAAATATAACGGGATTAAAACTTGGTACTATATATTCCCTTCTAGAACAATTGATACCACGCTTAGTTTAGATAGATCAGAAAAAAGTCTCTACTCTACAATGAGTACATTATCCTTTTTTGCCAGATTTTCAGGATTAAAAGTAAACACAGAAAAAACCAAATTGATATGGATAGGTTCCAAAAAGAGATCAAGATACAAACTCTGTAAAGAGTATAAGTTGGACTGGACAGAAACACAGTTTAAGCTATTAGGTATTGAATTTGATATTGATTTAGGAAATATCGTTTATCTGAACTATGTAAATAAATTAGATAATATTGAAAAAGAAATGGAACATTGGACAAAGAGAACACCAATGGGTAGAAATATTGTGTTAAAATCATTATTACTAGCTAAACTAAACCATTTATTCAGCAGTATACCAAGCCCACGTAAAAATATAATAGAAGCTTTTCAAAAGAAATGTTTTCAATTTGTTTGGAAATTTAAACCAGATAAAGTCAAGGGAGATACAATGTCACTACAGCCTAAGTATGACGGCATAAGTGTACCCATCTTAGAAAACGTTATTGCAGCTCAGAAACTGGATCAAAAGACTATCTGTTAGTAAGTCCAAATGGGCATGTTTCTTTTATGATCATTTAGTTGAGGCAAAAATAGTAAATTTGGCTGATGCTTTCTACATAGAAAACAATATTGTCCAAAATATCCACAACCAATTTTGGAAAGAAACACTGTCAGTATATGCATCATATTTAAATTGTTGTGATAATATGGAACTATATGTTACGGATGTATTGAATAAGTCAATCTGGTACAATAATAACCAAACAATTGATAATAAGCCAGTATATTTTTCCCATTGGTATGAAAAAAGGTATAACATATATAAACGATTTCTTCAACGACGCAGGAAATTGGTTTAATTTCCATGAATTTATTCAAAAATATGCTTTGAATACAGACTTTTTAACATTTCAAGGGTTGAAACAATCTATCGCCCAATACCTACAAATAATTAACTTTAGTCAAATACAAGACATCTCTCAAACACCAATATTACCTTATAATATATCTAAAATCAACAGTACTTCAGGTAGTAGATTATTTTAAGAAATGTTGCAAACTTCTAAATTTACAAAACTTAAAAGCTATAGCAAATGGGAGCTTTATCTTAATAAACACATTACTGAAACAGAATGGATAAACTATAGTTTGATGGCAAAAAGATGTACACAAAGCAGTGACTTACGATGGTTTCAGTTTAAGATTTTACATAATATTCTCAGCACTAATTGTTATTTATATAAGATTGGCTATGTTAAGTCACCAGCATGTTCATTGTGTAAAGATCCAGCTGAAACTATAGCACATGTGCTTTGTAATTGTCAATATGCAATAGATATTTGGACAAAATTTACTGAATGGATTGAAGTAAAATTCACTTAAGTAAAGAACATATATTATTTGGATTTGAAGGTAAACATAATAATCCTCTTAATGTGGTGATAATAATAATCAAATATATGTTGTATAAATGTAGTAAGAAAGCAGTGAAACCTAATTTTATATGGTTTCAAAAAGAAGTATTAAAATATTATGAAATCTCAAAATTTATTGCCTTTTCTAATTGTAACTATGCAAGTTTTAATTCTTTCTGGTCATCCTTCCATTTACTTTTTCTAAATACTATAACTGACTGACTGTAACTACATGTATTTTGTATATATGTGTACTAAACATATAAGAGGTAATGTACACATTATGTATTTACATCAACACTACTCACTGTACACTTAAAATACTTTCAATTGAAGAACATGAAGCTGCTGTAATGGAAATTGTAACATAAAAATGGAAATAAAAAATTTAAAAAAAAGAAAAACATTTAATCACAAGCGCACATTTGGTAGACAACATTGCAGTTAGACAACCGTTCAATGAATCACTATAGTTGAACCTGAGGGGATAGGAGATAGATTGTGCTCATCTAACTCCTTCTTATCGAATTTGACCACTCTTTAGAACTGTCTGTTGGTTAATATTCCAAGTTGTTTCATAGTCCATAAATAATCCTGTGTAATTATTGTTAAAAAGCCACTTTTTAAAAGCATTTTGTGTTGGATATTTTTTACCTATGATATAGTTCATATGTACAAATGCGCTCAGATACTAAATTTTATACGAATCTATATGTTCAATTGTTTGGCCAATCATCATTGGTATCTGTTGAAGTTGTATTGTAACCTAGGGCTGATTCTGTCACTCTGATTTTCATCCAATATGAGTTTACATAGTTTCTTGCAAATTATATAATGTCATATCCTGAAATTATCTGCATACCTGTAAAGTATATATTCCACAAATCCACTGAGATAGGAATTTGTGAGGTCGTCTCAACTGACTTTGGTTGACTCAGCTGATTACCGTGACTTACCAGCCTTCTTGCCAGTAACTATCCCTACTTTGGGAATGTCAATTACTATCATTGGGCTCCGAGAAGACTCGTTCATACCGACAGCAGACAGACGAATAGTCGATCAGGCAAGACAACTTGAGCTGAGAATAGTTTGCTGAGAGTAAATTACTGGTGTAAGGCAGTTTGTGGATTGACTGTTCAGCTTCAGTACGTTGTGTAATCTGATCAATTGAATGCGGTTTCTGTTAAAAACAAAACAAATACATGTATAGCTATGAGAAATGTCTACATGTGAATTCAAATCAATTGAATCTAATTAATGCAGGAGTCAGTATCTTTCCATCCCAGTATATCCAATTGTACCGCATGGTTAAATTATACCAGCCTCCATCGCATTGGTTATAGTAAGGAGACACTTCACACTCTGACATATACGATATGGATCCTACTCCTATTGCTAAAATTCAAACGCAGGAAATAACTCTGTTGTAATCAACAGGGTCTATTGAAATGCGTTCTAACTACCCTTCTCATTTCCTCTCCACCTTAGACTCACAGGTATACTGAAGCAATGGCTGCTTTGTTAGCGATACACTCTATCAATAGTTCTCAGTTTGTCCTACTTGCAGGCGATTAATAGAGGAAAGATGAATATCCAATTTTGGCAGATCAACAGCTTGTTTGTTTCGTTATTGTGTGCTTGGTTCCAAAGCAACACTGCAGTTAAAACTGCTATCACCTCTGATTGGTTGACATTGACGAAAGCAATAGTTTTAACCGACAGACTGAATCGGTCTATTTGATTGCCGACACAGACAAACATATTGCCTTAGAGCAATCAGTCAATATAGGAAAGATGATATTTTAGATGATATATGGAAGATGATATTTTAGATCATCTTCTTACTTTCTTACCACATATTAAAGCAGAGTGTTTAAGGGCACTGGATCTGTTGAGAGTGAAACAGATTTCCTCAAGAGTTCTCCAACAGCCAACTAACACAATCAGACACCGTGTCTTCCATGAATATGAATATCGGACTACTGGCAAGAGATGGCTATTATGTGACATGATGGCAGTATCCAGTTCTTCCTGTTGATACAGTTGCATGGATCATTTGGTCCATATGATGGTAACGATGGTCATATGCCTCGTTACCTCGTCTCCATACGCCACATCGACGGCCGGTAAAGTGTAGAAGCTAGCGACATTCATCAGACAAATTATCCCCACAGCATGTCCTAAAGTTGCAGTTTTCTCAGAGCCTGCACCACGCCAGACATTCCTGCCTGTGCCTGTCTGTGAGGAAGGGACGTCTGATCCCTCAGTCCAGCAGCCTTCAGCTTCCTTTTACTTGTACAGTAGAGGTTTGGACTCTCCATTGCCGGCGTATGTCTTTGGCATGGGGCATGGGATAGCATGTTGTCAGACGAACTAGGACTTGGTCATCACATCACGGTCATTGGTCATCCTCGCCCGTATTGGCTGAGTGCTTGCTCACAAGTCGACTAATACCCATGTGGTTAATGCTCAAATTAGCACTGATGTTGCAACAGGATATCTCTGCTTCATGCATGCTAAGAACTTACTGTCATGTTTTCTGTGAAAGACTACGTTCATTTTAGTACTGTCGCCTTATAAATAAGTTCAGAAAACTGTAGTGCACATACCGCAGTTATGAAAGTTATACCCTTGGCTTGGCGTCTTCGCAGTACGTGAACAGGCGACCCATAGCTTTTGAGACGTTGTTTGAAGCACATGTTTTGCACGTGCGTTTTATAATGCTAAGGTATGATGGCCTGTTTAGATTCAGGTGGTGCCTTATTAATGCTCATATGTATTTTTCGAATTACAGGAAAATACATGTGACTTCGGCATTGCATTTGCTTTAACAGGGTATACGGAATAAGAAGTGAAAATGCGGATAAGTGTTAACAAAAACTCACACCCATTTATTATGAAACTTTTCCCTGTTATTATATCATGACATTATCAACATATTTCCTATGGTGTCCCAAAGTGTCAGGAAGTGTCCTAGAGTTTCAGGGTTAATTTTAAATCCTATTTCGTTTTAATGTTCCTTTTCTGTTTTTATGTCCATTCCTAGTCCTATTTTTTATTGTTGTGATTCCGTGCCATTCCACTGAACCATGGGCTCTGGTCCGCGAGGGGCGGTGGGGTAGCCTAGTGGTTAAAGCGTTGGCTCGTCACGCCGATGACCCGGGTTCGAATCTCCACATGGGTACAATGTGTGAAGCCCATTTCTGGTGTTCCCCGACGTGATGTTGCTGGAATATTGCTAAAAGCGGCGTAAAACCAAACTCAGTCAGTCAGTCAGTCACTCTGGTCCGCGATGAACCTTGTTCGATGTACTGTGCGTAAAAGTGATGTAATTAAACAGCTGTCAAACTGAATCAAATCGAATAGTGCCTTCTGTTCAAGACATCGTCCCGCGAGGCGGAATTTGACAGCTTTCTGAGCCAAATTTGAGTATAACGAACTTACAATACCTCACACACGCATGTTGAACATTATGAACTTTTGAACTGTTGAAATATAAACTATCGTGAACCTACATTAATGAGAAGGTCTTCTAGAGAGAGGCGACCGCCTGATTATCTCTCAGATAATGAACTGAACGTATCAAATGTGCTTTCAGAACCGTGCGACCGTACTGTAGCAAAAAAATGAAGTGCCCATAAAATCACTTTAGGGGTCTCGTTGTGGAAGTGTACGAAGTCGGCAAAGCAAAATTTCTATTTTCAGTCGTCTTTCGGCATGTTCAAGATTATCAGATGAGCAATTATCTCAGGTTAAGTGAATTCAAAGTGAAAGGAAATTGCAAGAACTCATGATTAGGCAAAAGGTGGACGAACTTGCTGATGAAAAGATAAATCAGCTTGATGATGAAGCCATTAAAGCACAAAAGACTACTCATCGTGTTCTCAAAGAAAGGGAGACAAACAGAAATTTGTCGTGCTCGTGAACTTAGACAAGCCCAAGATGAATTAAACGAGGCTAGTATGATAGAAGCAATGTTGATATCAACTACGTCCACACCACTTCATCGGCTCCGATCACATCATTCCCTTCTACCTCTACTTCCCAAATCTCCAGTGCCATACCTGCAAGTGCTACGACACAGATGATGAGTAATATCCTCACTACGTCCAGCACACATACCCGACCTACAGTTCAAGTAAGCTTGCCTTCCTCGGCGCCGCCCAAATTACCCCTACCACCCAGAGGACATGTCCAGTCCACACAAGGGCTTTCTGTCCAGAGTGGTTTCACCCGGCAAACTACTGCCCATCATGCTACTCAACCTGTGATAACCAACCTACCGACTGCACCGACACCCACGACACCTCCCGGTTTCTCATTTCTTCCTCATCTGGTCTACCAAGACCAAGTTTACCACCATTTGATACTCATTATGAGACGGATTTCAGACTATTGAAGATGTCATTTGAAAACCCCATTGACTGTCACCTTCATTTGAGTGAGAAGTACAGGTATCAAATATTGATGGACCACCTTGGTGGTAATGCCAAGAAACTAGCCTGTGCCTGTCTAAGACACGCCACACCATATACCATGGCCCTAAATGAGAAATATGGTCATCCTCGCCAGCTGGTTTGGGGAGAATTGAACTCTTTCTTGTTCTTGCCGTTTGTGGAATCAGGCGACCATGCTGCTCTAGACAACTTCGCCCTCTCAGTGCAATCTATTGTGGGCATGTTAACATCTATTGAAGGTGAATCAAGTGTGGAGTTGAGATTGGATCTCATGCTGACAAGTTAAAGACAGAACTGCCCTCTCATTTCCAGACTTTATTGAGTACTGTCTCATTAACGGTATTCTTAACCATGTAGCACAATGTACCTTCACTTTGATACATATGAGCACTTGGCTCCAGCCCAAGTCCAGAGATAGTCGCATTGCCCAGCAGGCTGTCAGCTCTGTAAAGTCTGATACTCGATCCCAGATGAACCTTGACCGTGGATCCAGACCTACACAACGACCAAACCATCCTGTCTCTCTCAACACTGTAACCATGTCTAGTCATGCAAGATCTGAACCTGCTGTTCCTACAGGTGGGAAAGCAACCTACAAGTCCTACTGTGCCTTCTCTAACAGCGACTATCATCACATCAGTTTCTGTAACAGTTTCAAGAGATTGAAGGTTGATGAAGTTATCCCATGGATAAGGGACAAGAAAAGGTGTTGGAAGTGTGTGAGATCTCATTCACCTAATGACTATAATCACAAGAAGCCCTGCAATATTTGCCAAAAGATGCATCTAACCATCTTACATGACACCATCCAACAAAAGTTCAACTCAGTCATATTTTATCAACCAGTCACCTCTCTACCTCGACCAGCCTCTCAATCCTACAGAGTGGTCCTGAAAGTTGTGCCAGTCATCTTGAGTGAACCTAGTGGACAAAACTCTTGAAACCTATGCAGTATTGGATGATGGATCAATGAGGACAATGATCATGATGCCCGCTGTCAGACAGCTTGATCTTAACACTGAACCAGATGACATTCTACTGACTACGATCCGAAGTGAGCCATTCAACTGTGTTGGACATTCTGTAAACCTTACTATCTCACCTCTAGATGATCCTCACCGCAAGTACTCAATTAGCAAAGCCTTCGCTCTGATCTGCTGACACTGTCAGAGTATTCCTACCCAGTCAAATCCCTCCAGAGGGAATATGCTCATCTGCAAGATGCTGTGCTGCAAAGCCCTTGATCCTGATCGGTTCTGACCATGCAGATCTGATGTTACCACAAACTCCAATCTGTTTTCGCCCATCAAATGCACCAGTGGCTGTCTGTACTAAGTTTGGATGGACCCTCCAAGGCTAGCACAAAGACATTACCTCAGCAAACCGTGACTGCTGTCTCCTGACTTCGGTTCCGAACCCCTCTATTCAACTTATGAATGATGTTGTGAAACTGTGGAAGGCTGAGGTGATTTCCTTCATATCCAAATCTGTGACCCGCTCCAACCCAGACAGTTTTGCAGTGAAGATCTCGGAATCAAAGACTGTGAAGGTCAGTGATGGAGAAACCAATCATTATGTCACTCCGCTCCTGATGATGTCAGATTGCTCTCTTCTTTATGCTGGAAAAGAATCTGTAATGTGAAATTTTCTTTCTGACGAGAAACGTCTCTGCCGTGATCCAGATTAGGCTGATACCCACAACCAGAAGAAATCCAAGAACTTGTAGACAAAGATTATGTGCAGATCATCAGTGAAAGTGAAGCTGCTTCAACCACTGAATCATAGTTTATTTCTCCGACAGCATGAAAAGTACCGCCTGGTCTTTAACTGCTCATATGGGTATTCTGGACAGGCCCTGAACAATCACCTGCTTCCTGGACGAAACCTCTGTTCCCCGTTGCTAGGAGTCCTCATGCGATTTCGCCAGAAGTCAGTTGCCATATCAGGAGATATCCAAGCAATGTTTCATCAAGTACGATTACTGCCTGAAGACAGATGTCTGTTGCGTTTCCTATGGTGCAACCTCCAGAGGGACCGTAACCAGACATTTATGAATGGAAAGAGTTACCATTTGGGACAACCTGCAGTCCATGCTGCGCAACCTTTGCTCTGAGGAAACAGGCCTTTACAACCAAACCGAGTATCCAGAAGTTGTTCAATCGATTCTCCAATCCTTTTATGTAGACAACTGCCTGGAAAGTGTTTATAACGTTACTGAAACCTAGGAACTTATTGTCAAAATGAGAAAACCCCTCGCCAGTGGAGGATTCAACAAGCGTCAGTGGGCCAGTAACAGCGAAGAGGTCATCAGAGATCTTCCAACCGATGCTAAGTCAGAGCTGTGAGCTGTGGCTTGCACAAGAGAATAAAGACCCGAAGGAATCCACCCTCGGTCTCGGTAGGAACTGTGTTGAAGATGAGATCTCTTACAAGTACTGGCCAATCTCATACCCTCAGCTGACAATGAAAGTTGTCTACAGGATCCTTGCCAGCCAGTATGATCCACTTGGCTATCACTCGCCCTACCTTTTTTCCAGAGCCAAAGTACTGTTCCAAGACCTCTGGATCAAGAAACGTCAATGGTATGAACCGATAGAACCTGGTCAGATTCTACAAGATTGGAACACTTGGAAATCAGAACTCTGGGAAATGTCCAATATTCATCTCCCGAGATGTTACCACACCCGATATATTAAAGCTGCCAATCTGCAGTTGCACATCTTTTGTGACGCCTCTGAGAAGGTGTATGGAGCTGTGGCTTATCTGAGAATTGAGGATGAAGTTGGCCACAGCAATGTCGCCTTCGTGTCAGCTCAGAGTCGAGTTGCTCCAAAGACGTGTCTCTCCATTCCGCGCCTTGAACTCTCTGTCGCATTACTAGGCGCTCAACTGACTGAAACACTGACCAATGAGTTAACTCTACCAATCACTAGTGTTTCTCTGTGGAGTGACTCAACACCTGTTCTCTCCTGGTTCAAGTCAGATTCCTCCTGGTACAAAGTATTTGTGGGCACTAGAGTGGCAGAGATTCAAAACATGACTGAAGATCACAGCTGGATGTATGTTAATACCAGAGACAATCCCGCTGATGACATCACCCGTGGGCTCACATTGAGTGAAGTGTCTTCTACAAACACTAGATGGTGGACACAAACCCCAAATGAACTGAAGAAGACCTTCTGTGGTATAGCTACCATGTTGACTGATATGTCGTCTCATGAAAACTGGGACTCCGCCGTTGACTCACTCAGATCCAAAATGTTTACCTCTGATGGGGCGGCTGCTCCAGACCTTGCCACCCGTGACCTCGAGATTGAACTGTTTCACAAGATACAGAAAGATTCCTTCCCTGGGGAGTTCACTGCACTCTCAACTGGGAAGCTTCTCAGTTCCTCCAGCAGACTGATGCAACTGAGTCCGGAGTATGAGCCAGAAACAGGTCTTATTCGAGTAGCAGGAAGGTTGAGAAACTCCCGTGACATTCCCTCTGAACTTATGCATCCAATTGTTTTGGATCCTAAACACCCTTTCATTAAGCTCTAGATCAGACACAATGACGTGAAGCTTCATCGTTATGGCTCCGAACGCTGAACTGCGTGTGAGAGAACCTGTAAAACGTCACCAGAGGCAGTGTTATGACTGCCAGCGCTGGAGAGCTAATCCTGAAGTTCCAAAGATGGATGATCTGCCTCCTGCGAGACTACGGTTCTTCAAGCCTCCTTTCTATTCCACCGGAGCAGACTGTTTTGGGCTAAAGGACATCTAAATTGGCCGCCAAAGAGAGAAACGACTCGGAGTGATCTTTAAGTGTCTCACAACCAGAGCCGTTCATCTGGATCTGCTGGAATCCATGGACACGGATGCATTCCTGATGGCTCTTCGTCGTTTCATCTCCCGAAGAGGTAAACCCCTTGAAATCCTGTCTGACTGTGGAACGAACTTCAAAGGCGGTGAAAGGGAACTGTCTGAGGCAAATACAAATTCAAAGTCAATCCACCATGTTCTCCTCATTTTGATGGTACTTGGGAACGACAAATCAGATATGTGAAACATGGGCTTTGTACTGTTCTAGGTCTTGAAGCAGTGCACAGGAACACTTTACGGACTGTGTTGATTAAAGTTGAGGCAATACTGAACTCTAAACCCCCTGGCTGTGTATCCAGTGATGTCTCCGATGTCAACCCTGTTACTCCCTTCTCACTGCTGATTGGGAGGCCAGATCCTTCCCTTCCCCAATTGGTCTACCCTGCAGAGCAGAGACTAGGGAAGAACCGCTGGCGACACTGCCAGACTGTAGCTGATCAGTTCTGGAAGAAGTTTATGGTACAAAGATGGACTTGAACTCAAAGTTGGAAACCCTGATCTGATCGCTGATAGCCAACAGGTCCGAGGACATTGGCCTGTTGGAAGGATTGTTGAAGTCCTTCTATTCAAGACATATGGTATCAAATTATTCACATTTTATGTACAATTTGCGTTTCTTTTGCGGTTTAGTATGTATATTTTGCATTTACTTGGTGAAAAGTAAAGCGAATTTCATAGAAATGAATGTGTTTTGAAGAGGTGACTGAAACACAAAATCACAGACACGCGCTGTCATTAAACCTATCATGGTCAAAAGAATTAATTTCGTTTGTAAACGTCAAGTTCACTTGAAAAATGTGCTTATCTGTGTCACGTGGATGTGTCAAATGGTTTCATGGCCAGCTTCATTCATGCACAAATGGTTTCGTTAAATGGTATATTCAGTCTCAACGTTATAAGGCCAGAGGTTTCTATAATCCAGGCTACAGCATGGTCAAACGTTAACATTGTAAATGCGCCCTCAAATGCACATTATGCCATTTATAATGTCTAAGAAAATCCAAATAGCTTGACAATACCACTAATAACGTATTTTGTTGCTGAATCAGCAAATGTAAAAAGTAATCGGAATTATGTATGCGCATTATTTACTATACATTTGGTGAAGCCGTTTATACAAAATATATTTATACAAAATTGACTGCGTCTGACACCAAGCTAAGACCTACGGTCCCTGAACCTTTGGTTCTTTGTTTCACATTAGAATATACATGATTTCTGTTTCTTTCTGTTATTTCGGTTTTTATAAATACTTACAAGACCAGGCTAACCTGTTAAAGAGAAATGAAAATGTTGTTGGTTAATGATGAATATTGATTTTAAGATTTCTGTAATACTACTGGAGTAGAATTTTGAGCACGAACAATATTTGAACAGTCAAGCCGAATGTGTTGTAGTCATTGTTTTCAACTCGCTATCATTGTTAGGGAAAATTGAAACATATAACGTCATGTGTTCATACCCTTGCCGACTGCTTGTTGGGGAACAGTGGTCAAGCTTTATCAGACAAAGTTATTGATTCCTTTATCTGTGAGGGCCTGTCTACAATATGAACAACATAGCCTGGACAAGATAAGCCAGTATTTCAATGTTCCATCTTGTCATTTTCCGACATCACTGAGCACACCAGTCAACAAAGACTGTTCTGTTTTTATTACAGGGAGAACGACGTTTCGGTGTAGGTTCTAACCCCATTATCAAGCAAGTGATGAACAGAATGAGGAATATATAGAGCATGAGGAAATGTATGTACAGTAAAATTGAGGATTAGGACTGCAATGGCATATCACTACAATATTGACACTTTTCACTATTTGTTACGAGGGACGAGTGCAAAGAGAGAAACATCCAGGTATGCGAGAAGCACGTGCACAAGTGCCGACAAAGTTATTGATTTCTTTACCTGTGAAGGGGCTGTATCAAAACCAGTGAAAATAGAAAAGCATGATTCATTAAAAAAAAGAACTTGTTCGGAATGTTATTAGGAGGTTATATGGCCAAAATAAATTCCTTTCTTTGCGTGTTTTAAAAACACACACATGGACACTGAACATTCCCATGTAACATCCACACATCAGTTATGGTTATTGCTCCACAAATTTGGGTTCCGTTATAAAAGGATTAGTGGGGAGAATAGACGTGTTCTCTGTGAACGATCCGACATTATTCGCTTACGAAAGAGCTACGAGGGCCTGTGGTTGCCAGTACATCATCAGAAACATGCTCATGGAAACTCCCACTTGGCAAGGGTGAGTGTTTGATTTTGTTACATGTCGGATGCAAAAGTCGGGGGTTTTACCTGGTTGTTCCCTTGCATTTCAATCAAAATCCAAAGACAATCGTGACTATCACACCGAGATAAACGGTGGTGTGCTTTTAGAATGGCTACAAAAACAGCTTGTTCCCTTCTTACCTGCCAAAAGCTTAGTGGCCATGGACAAGCTCCGTACCACAGTGTTCAGGACCCTGATACAAAAGCACCAGTCTCAAACAGCAGGAAGGGGGATATGTTGGCATTCCATTAAAGGCAACAACACTTTTTTGTACGGAATTATGAACGCAAATAAAAATAACCCCGTGTATAAGGTTGACCAATACTTAAAGAGTCATGGTCATGAAGTGCTTCGTCTTCCCCCCTACCATTGTGACCTTAATCCAATAGAGCTGGTCTGGGGTATCATCAAGTCCAAAGTGGGAATTAATAACACCACCTTCAAACTTGGTGATGTACAAAAACATGTACATCAATCCACCAGAAACATGGCAGAGATGTGTTGAAAAGGTGGAAAAGGATATTGAAACTAAATACTGAAAAGAGAGTGGCTTAGCCACCATTAAACCAGTCATCGTCAGAGTAGACTCTGACAGGAGTTGTTCAGAATAAGAGTTGGATTCAGACGATCCCTCTCATGATGATTTTGAAACGTCCCCCGCCAAACGATTGCGGGCGTCTCCATCCTAACTCACACCTGGCTGTTCCTCTCTTTGCACTCCTCCCTCGTAACAAATAGTGAAAAGTGTCAATATTTAAAACAACTTTTTTTAATTTTAGAGTTAGTCTGACGTTTTTATTATGATCAACGTTTCATTGAGTATTATATGTTTCCGAGTTAGATTGCAATTCATTGGTCCGCTTTTGAGCCAAACGGACTGTACTTGGAAACGTATCTTATAGTGGTATCTACTGTACCGTAGGTGCATGAATGTTACTGAAAGGGACTGATGCAAAATAATGAATACTACCTATAGTCGTCTTGGGCTGCAGATCTCCGAAGGGTTCTGAAAGTATATAATAACACAAAATTTGGTTTCATATGGCTACAAAACAGTTCTTTCCCAAACAAAATCAGCTTTAGAAGTAAACAAATACAAGCTGAACAGACGCTAATCATCCTTTATACATAGTGTGGTCACTGACATCCCAAGTCTTTCCAATAATTCTCAATATATATCTCTGGATTTTCTATTCTAACTTAAGACCTTGAAAACTGATTCAGGACAATTTGGTTGTCGGGCAACAGCAGTCCAGGCATACCAGATAACCTCTAAATAACAGAGTCGAGACAAGAAAGAGAGTGAAGCATTGCAATATTGCATTTTGTCAGGTACGATATCACTGAGTCTATTCAACCAATAGAAGTGTCGTATGACATAAATGAATAATTATTCCACATAAGGACAAACTTGCAGGTCAGTGATAGCCAGGTATATTCTTTATCACTCTATATCTACACAATTGCATCGTTCACGTTTCTGGAAGAAAATATTCAAATGTAGTGTGGATTTTCACAGAATTGTAGTGTACAATAATCCGCCCTGCATATAATCATAATGTGTATACTAAATAATGTGTAATTAACAAAACTTTCCCAAGGGATATTCATAAGATTCCTTGTTAGGGGTATTCTCGGGGTTCATTCTCAGGACGTTGACAACCTGAAATTTTGCATTTGCAGGACGTGGACAGACGGTGTAGCTTTGATGTCGTCTGTTGTTTTTGTAAGGGATTAACTAGTCGGGAAGTGTTAAAATGTGAACTGTTTATCCGGAATTGTTAAGGTTTTGTTCACGCTGGTAAGCAAGTGACTATGAAAGGTGAGTGAGTTCACTCAGAATTGTTTTCAGTGTTGATTACATTTACAATTTTGAAAAAACTACTGGATGTAAAGAATTCAACCTGTAGTGTATGATTTATGCCGAACTCGGAAGCTATCCTCTTCAATGCAAAGAACGTTTAATTTGATAAAATATTGGTTAAAACTTTTGGGAACTGATAACTGTATCCTAAGGGGCTGCTATGAATATCTTTATAATGATGGGGAATCGCGTTCTGTAAAAAAATGGGCTTATCAGGTTAAATCAATTTTGACATCTATTGGTTATTCTGTCTATTGTCTGGCGTTAATTAGCTCAGTAGCTCATTTGTACGAAGTGGACACTTTTTTCGTTTTTACACGACACAGGGTGTCCACGTCCCTTGTTATTTGTATTTCTAAGTTCTAAATCCCCTTCAAAGTTTCAAAGAAAAAAGTATCATGTATAGTGACCATCCACCGGTGTAAAATTGTCATCGTCTGTTACATATAATTCAAGATTAATAGACATTTAATGAGGACTACAGAACGTGTAATTTAAAGCCAGGTCTCATTGTGATATGATGCACGTATGCGAGACGCATACATGCGCATTATGCTGTAGGTGGTGCATTTCGTTGATGTCCATGATAGTGAAAATAATACCAATGGCAATTATGTTGAAACTGCATTTATGACTTTCTTCATGCAAGTCCACGTGGGTGGATGTACTATATGAGAAACAGTTAAGTTATAATGTGTAAAAACAAATGGTTAGATGTGCACAGCGTTAGAGTTTAGAGTCATCCAAGACAACAGAGCCAGCCACCTTCGTTACCAACTTACTTGATATTAAGGCAAAGACTTGTCACAGCAACCAACAGCACAGCGCTACATAGTCCAAGGGTAGAGTTAATTTGGACCTCCATGCCAATGTCTGTACATGCTGGATCTTTCTTAGTTGCATGATACACGTAAACAATCGGAGTAATTCGTATTCGCCTGGGAAAGGGATGTGTATGTTGTCATAAGTAACATGGATCACACCACAGTAGTATTAATATCACTACAGTAATATTCTTAACACTACAGTAACATGCATAACTCTACAGTTTATTCATAACACTACAGTAATATTTATAACACTACTGTTATATTCATAACACAACAGTAATATTCATAACACTACAGTAATATTCATACACTACAATAATATTCATAACACTACAGTAATATTCATACAATACAGTAATATTCTTAACACTACAGTAATATTCATACACTACTCTAATATTCATAACACTACAGTAATATTTATAACACTACAGTAACATACAAGGAAAACATTTGCACAGAAACATACATTTTTCATCAAATATATATGTTTAATGTGTTCATATGGTTCAGAGGAGGCCTGCGACACAATTCCTCATTTATTGTATTGAAGACAGTGCGCATTACATCAATGTCAGTGGTTTGTGCTTACACGAACCACCTCGGGATCGTTTCTTTATCTATGTATTATCTCGTCTTTTTATGCTTTTTAATCTTCTTGCTAAAGCATAGAGTTATCTATGTGTATCCAGACTATTTAAGAATACTTGAAAATGTTATTAGATATTAAATTAAGTATGAAACTGAAATACTTACAATCAGTATGAGGCGGTAACTCGCACACCGTGCACCCCGACCTGCACCTGAACATTTTATCTTCTTCCCTTGATAGACTTTCGTGTGAACAGTGATTCTGGCAGTCATCACCGAATAACCCTCTCCGGCATTTAATACATTGTCCACTCTCTTGTTGACATGACTCATAGCTCGGTTTACATGACTTGCTGCATAGTTTGCCGTACCGACCATCCATACATTTGTCTTGTGAGCAGTTTCCGTGAATACCACATGCATATCCATTACACTTCTCAACACACGAGTGTTGGCAACTCTCTCCGTACAGGTGACTCTCACAAAGTGTACAGTTTTCACAAACCATACGCTTACAACGTAGACAACCTTCAGGACAAGGTATCTTACATGTTGGGTAACAGAAGCCATCGACACACCCCTCTGTACACATTGTCTTTCCTGTGTGGTTGTCCACAAAACACCTGCCTTTTAAACAGGTCTCTTGACATGGATGCTGACAGTATATATCGGTATAGCCTGGTTCACACCCGTCAGTACATATTCCGTCTTCATCACACTTTCCAAACAGACAGTTGTTGCAGTTCGGAGATGCCTGAATAGAAGTGATGCAAACTGCAACTGAAATTACAAATGGGTGAGTGTGTGAGTTTTAGTTTTACGCCGCTTTTAGCAATATTGCAGCAAATTTACGGCGGGAGACACCAGAAATAGGTTTGTACCCATGTAGGGAATCGAACCCGGGTCTTCGACGTGACAAGCGAACAGCTACCCCCACAGCCTCAATTAAAAATGAAGATCCATACATGAAAACGAGCAAAACTGTATTTGTACATCGACGTTCGTTAATAAGTAGGCCCCGTGAAATTTGCAGAGGTGTTCGACATCAGTATCTCGTGTATCAGCCACCTCCACCCGACTCCTCATGACGCCTGCGGATAATTGCTGCCACTTCTCATGCTATGCTCCCTCCAATACACCCACATTTAAATAGGTTTGGTATACTAATGCCTACAGGGGAAAATAGCTACAGGGAATAATAGCTACAAAGTTTGTTGTGACAGCGATACCCTTACCTGCAAGTGGACTGTTCCAGTTAGTGAGAAAAGAGAGAGAAAATTATTTTTGTTTGAGTGGCATTTTTAGAAGTTGAGACGTACAATATGGAACACGTTTTTATGGATAACAACTTCTTTATTTCGTGAGTGCGACGTGACTGCTGATAAAAGGTGAAACATCCCTGACCCATCAACACCCAAGTCAAAGAACATCGCACCTCTGTTGCTAATTCCGACACCAAATCAGCTATCTCTGACCACATCAAAGCAAACCCCAATCATCAAATAGAGTGGTCCGACTTCACCATTTTCGCCAACAACCAAACGGACTTCACTAAACGCAAGCTCACCGAAGCCATTCACATCAAACGCCATAAGCCCACCATCAACCGTGACCAAGGATACTTCATTCCATCAGCTTATGATCCACTCCTCCACCAAGCCCAATCTATTGTATAAACATCGCAACTATTGTATAAACATCTCCTTCATTGTAACTACTCCTGTATTTATACATCTCTGGCTTCCATTCACTATCCTTTGTGTACTCACTGGCTTCATCAGCTTACTGCTTAACCAATTATGGCAATTATGTAGTTTTCTTTGTCAATTACAATGTATATTGTTTCATTGTTATATACAGTATATATATGCAGCTCCTCCACTTCATGTATCACTCTTGCTTGACAACGGTACAAGAATCTGTATCGAAACGTCGCACTCACGAAATAAAGAAGTTGTTATCCATAAAAAACTCGTTCCAAAATGATTTTTGTCAAGGAGTCACATGCTGATAAAAGACCATACACAGGCTTATGAGACACAATAATTCAGTTTAAAAACATTGCGCTTAAACACACTATTAAAATATGATGTGATAAATTTGGATTCAAATAATACCAAAAGTCTTGTTCATTCACAAAATATACGGATATACCTTACAATCTTGAGTGACGACGAAGATGACACATTTTACTTGCAGTAGCGGCTAAATAAAGATTTACAAAGCTTATTATTTTGCATAAGGTAAATTATTTTCTCACTGGGACTAAGTAAAGGAAAGACGCTGTCTAAATCTGTAGCTTGCTTCCAAAGCCTTGAACGGATATCAATATATAGACAGCAATCTCCAAGAAAAGGCACCCGTGAAGAGCCACCTCCTCGTGGTGGGTGCTGGGTAACGCCAAGAGCTCTTCGACCCCCCGTTGTGGACCCGGGGAATATATTTGGTCCACCAACCTGTTTGCCGTGGGTTGCGCCCCTGTGTCGGTGGAGGAAGGGAGTCTGGTGGTTGAGGGCACTGGTCCCAGGAACAGTGTTCCTTTGCCCAACACACCACTTCGACCCTTACTTCACCTAGACGGGTGGTTGAATGGGTCCGGTTCAACCAATCGGCTGGTCATGCCGAGCCCTGAGCACTAAATTTCGTTGCTCTAAAAAAGTTTTGGCTTGGATTTATTTGGACACAATATTGACATGTTTGGTTTTGTGTATATATTGTATGAAATATGGATTTTCAAATTCACTCAAATTTGCCTAGATGCTGGTGCCAGAAGGAGGTTGAAGTAGTGTAAAATTATTGTCCTCCTGAGAGCGTACGTAAGTCCCAAAATGTTCAAAGTCCATTTTAACTTGCCAGGATTTTTAAACGTAGCATTTTTGTCATTTTAATGTTGGCTAACATTTCTTACAATCGCCAGCAGCTGAAGGGATGGTGTAAATCCAGCTAGGGTCCATGCAGGTAGCAAAGTTACTGTAAGTCCCCATGGACCCTAGTATGGTGATCTACCTTCTGTTGTTGGCGATCTATAGCCTGATTTTATATTGTATTGTCCCAATAGTGCAATTAGTTTTAAACTTTCCACGCTAGTTTTAATTCTAATTGTGATAATCTAGTGCTTTTACTGTCCTTCGTTGACAGGGTTTTATATATTATATGTATGTATTATAAATTTAGAACTAGTTTTAGTCAAGATATGGCTGAAATATTGCCGATGTGACTTTAAATCTTAACTCACTCACTCACTCACTCTCCAAGAAAATGAATTTCGTTTCTACAACATTTTGAATCACACATTTTACATATACGATCTTGCAACTGGGCAGGTGGAATCTTTCGAGGTCCAAGGTTAGCGTTCCACATCTTAAATCGCTAACATACTTCGGTGCTTACGATTTGATACTTGATAAAGATTTCAGTAATCGGGCTAGATTTAAACATTTTGTAGGTCCGCATCATATTTCCATTAACTAAACAGCTGTCATTCCACATCTCGCGCAACTAGTTTTCAGCGTCCAATCTTGATTAAACCGCTGTCATTCCACACCTCGCGCAACTAGTTTTCAGCGTCCAATCTTGATTAAACCGCTGTCATTCCACACCTCGCGCAACTAGTTTTCAGCGTCCAATCTTGATTAATGATGTAGTATATGATTTATATTGTAATGTAATGTCATCTCAATTAATAATTCAATAATATGATTTATAATCTAATGTAATCTTAATTAATAATTCAATACTATTAAATGTAATAAAAAAAATTAAAATGAAATGATGATATGGTTAAATCTTATACAATGTCATTAAAAAGTCTGTGTTTTGTATTCCCTGTAGGCATTAGTGCACAATGAAGTGGGACCTACCACTTTAGTGAAAGGGTAGAGGAAGTACAATTTGTAACCATTTGGCACATAGAGTTGCTTCAAACGAGTGCTTGTCACGCCTTACGTAACGGGCAAGATTGCTATTTTCAGCTGGATTGATCCTTGACAGCGCCATCTTAGTTTCGGGTGTTTCTACTGATGACAGAGTATCAATGACCAAGCTCACGCCCAATGGTCTTGAATGCCATGCCAGCTGCATGCATACCCACCATCTGCCATCTTAGTTTCAATAAGAGTATTCTCCTTGTCTTGCCAAGGTGTATAGATGAAAGTGATGGCGTATTCATAAGTTGTATACCTTGGACGGCCAGAAATACTGTTTTTCATAGTTAGTTTCATGTTTGACATGTGTGTGTGCTTCGCATTTTGCAAGTCCTTTCAAACTGAAACCGTGTTTTTAATTACCTGAAATGTGCCACTTTAAAAATGGCATTACTGACATATCATCATCATAGGTACACCACTATGATGAAATATGTTTGGGGTGCATAATTCAGTTCTATGTGTAACTTTCAATCAGTAATTTACAGTACTCTTGACCCGTTATGTAAGATGCTCGGACAATGTATTCAGTTGAAAATATATTTTACTCTAGCAAAATCAATGAAGTAGAAAAGTAAACACAATTTTTTTTTAATCTTTTGCTCCTACAATGTTTTCAGTCGTTTCCTATTGTGCCACTCATTTATTGACATTAATTATTGGAGGAACAGCATTATAAGCCATCTTCGTAAACTTCATCACTGAAATCCCGACAATGAGTGAGATGGTTCATGTAAATATAAGCAGCCCTAAAATAAGCCGTTCCAATTTGAGACTTAACCAAATTGACAATCTTAATCGGACATTATCAAAATGATCTGCAACATGACTCAGAACGTCACTTCGGCAATACCAAGACGAAGCAACCATAACAACACTATATAAGATACTAACCTGTCAGTATACAGCAAACGTCAATTTCCGGACACATTCTGAAAGAAAGTCATTGGTAATTTATACTGCAAATTCTAGCTATGTGATTAATGTAAGTGACATTATTAGGAAATGTCACAACAGTGTGAGTAGTATATACAATGATTGTCCGAGATCAAGTCCAACAAAAGGCCCTGTAAAGCTAGATCTCGCCCCCATGGTATATACTACTTTTGAACCCCCAGTTAACTTCCCGACCCCACATGACACAATAGTGTCGCTATGACCGCGAACTAGCACTTGACACTATGTCGCGTTGACCTCGATGAAACAGTTTAATGTGAATCGCCTATGATATCTTTCTGTACCCCTTGTTCTATGTACTTTTTTTTCTCGTCTTCGCTGATAGCAGACTTATGAGACTTGGACCGGATTTCTTGTTTCATCTTACGGTACTTGTTGAGTTCAGAGAGGATTGAACGAAATTCCTCCTCTGAGATCTTACTGTCAGTGAGTGCCGTGGAAATACGCTCACTTACCGTGTTCAGCTTTGCTTCGGCCAGAACCCTGATCTTGTCGTGTTTCAACGCTTTACGATGCAGTCTGCGGGATGCAAACTTAAACACCAACCCTGCCACCCCTACCACCCCAGCTGTTATTTCAATGCCTAGCACTATAGGTGTGGCCACGATAGTGGCTAACAACCCAACACCTGCCGCCCCTAGTCCCATGCTGGTTGCCATAAGGGCAGTATCAGTCCCGTCCACGATATTGAAAGCTCTACGGTACTTCTTACATAGTGCTTTCCGCGTGTCGCGGTCTTGTTCTAGTTGGCGTTTTACATCACATAACTGTCTCAAGCGGAACCCGTATACAGTTTCCAGGGTCTTCGCGACTTCCTCTACGACTGGGTACAGTCCCATCCTATAATATATATTACAATTGATATTTTAATTGGGTTTCATTTAACCTTCGATTAATGTACTTAAAGCTGATAATACTTAGATTAACTTGCGTGTAAAAAATCGTGGTCTCAGCTCGACTTCCATTTAGGACACGAACTCCATCAAGGCTTGCTAAAGGTCTGTTTCCCGATACTTTAATAATACGACAACATTGGTTATTATGCCTGTCTTCCCAACCTTACTTAAGATCATCTAAAAGGTAAATAAAACTCGTAGTCAAACGCCTATCTCCGAGATAGACGTCTATGATGAATGTGAAGTTTTTCGCGACATCTCTAAAATCCTGCTGGTAATCGAGTAATTTGAGCTCTATCTTTACCTTCCCACTGTTTGAAGCTAACATGTTGCCCGAGTGACCTGGTATTCGTATGACTTGTACACTAGAATCCGGAATGAACGACCTGAGAGTGATGCCGTTGTTCCTAATCTCGGAGTTAGCATTTTTGTTTCAAGGAGATATAAGGTGAGGTGAGGGTTAAGTTGACTAACCATTCAGGCTCTTTAAAATCTGATAACGACACCCGCCTATACAGGTTGTCTTTCAAGTGTAGGGCGTACAAGGTGTCTTCCTCACCAGGTAGATCAAACTCCTCCATGTCGACTAGGTCGTTAAGCGTGATGTTGGGACGATGACTAGTCATTATTATAATACTATTACGAGATAGTTTCCAATTGTTTTTCTGATAATTTCTCAGGGGTGCACTTCACCCCCATGAAGTGTATGTTGTCGGGTAGGAAGATCTTGGTGAGTGGTATCATGTCTTCCACGGTCACGGTGACCCCCTGCAGACTGGTGTGGGAGTCGACACCCACCCCCACGTAAACAGTGCAAACCTGATACTGGTGCCGTTTCACCCACTGGAGTTTGATCCCCTCACGATTTCGACTTCATCCGGCGATGGTTCCCCTAGGTAGACTTTGAGGACCAGAGTGGAGTTAGCCGGTAGGCTCGCCAGGATGTTGACCACGCCAGTGAATTCAGACATCAACTGCAATGCCCCGTCTTGCACTCCCGGTTTACTCGATAGCATGTGGGCTGCCATACTGGCGACTGGGCTGATGATTACGCTACGTCTCTGAGCCGGGGACGTAGGCCACGAGCAGGGTTCCGTTGTTCACGACTTTGTTTAGGTAGTTGTCTTTGTTCTCCGTGAACACGTAGGGGGAGCCGAGATTAATGTTGAGAAACCACCGTCGGTATTTTTTGGTGATGGCCGTCAGGTTGCTCTCAACATCTTTTAAGTCGAACAGTTTGCCTCCGAACGATTGGGATACCACCCATCTATCATCACCGATACGGACTAGGTCGAACCGAGTGTTGAGGGCCGCTCCTGAGGTCTCAACTATATCACTTAGGTTTCTAGTACCACCAATGATGGGGCCTTCAACGCGTTTGTAAATGTTGTTTTTCAGTTGCAAGGCGTACAATTTACCATCTACTCCGGGGTCGTCGAATCCGCGTGTGTCCCCGAGGTCGGATATCCCCGCATTGATGCATTTTTTCAACCTCATTCCGGGACCTTGTGCGCTAGTCATTTTATGTGCAGCGTTATGCTGAGGTATCCTATATTCACAGGATTATGCTTTATATCTAACACCGATATCATCAACTCAGGGATGTTGCCCCGAGTTAACCTCTTATACTGACGCGGTGAAAAACGACTCGGTTCTACCGTCGTCGTATTTCTCCGTTTTCACTGGTACGGCTCTGAGTATCGTGGAAGGGTGACCCCCTTGAATGTTGTCCGTTGTGCTCAACTGGCCGAGATGAATGCACAGCTCTCGGTACGGTACTAGGTCGGGTAACTTCGTGCCTGTGACAGTAGTTGTTGGTTTTATCTCGTCCGGCGACATCCCGAGTGTCCTCGCCAATGTCCTCGGTGACTAACGTCAAGGCAGTCCACGCTTGGTTCAACAACCCGATGCAGTTCTGGCAGAATCAACTCAACTTCGCCGTGTGGTGCGCTACAACGGGGTGTGGCTTGACATTGACCGACCCTCGGCGGGGACCGCTGAGCCAGTCTGTGTTCATGTTTCACGTGTACTACCAGGTCAGGCGTATCCTCAAAGAGATCAGCGCTCCGCTCCCACAGGACAAAGCATGGGACGCAGTAAACAACCAGTACGATAGAAGGGCCTACGAACGTATTTGCAACGAATTCGAACTAAACCGGAAGACGGATTGGCGTTTGCCGGGGGCCGAACCACGGGTTGGGTATTCCATATGATGGGGGCGACCCGTGAAAGAAGTCAGTGATGATTTACTGAAAGGAGATGTACTACGCCAGGACTTTGCTTTGTCGAGTAATGAATGGCGAGATGACCGTATGAACTTTAAAGGCGGTGTTGCTTTTGTGGCAGGTGTATTTTAGTGTAAATATAGTATTTTAATCATATTATTATTCTCTCCTTTTAGCTATGTTATTTCTAGGCAGTTTAAGGTTTAAGCTTTAGAGCTTGGCCTGTCTCACTAATTGCCCAAGCCATGACGCTTCTCAGCTGATTGGTCTCATTAACTCCATGCACAATTTCACTCATTCTGCACTGACTCTTTGCCATGTAAAGACAGCTTGGACAGACACAGTGTGAGATTAAGGTTAGTATTCATTTAATTAAAGTAATATTGCATTTAATCCTTGCAGTATGTATATAATAAACGTATATCTATTTACTAACATTTAAAGAGGTATTATATTGTATAGCATGTAAGTGTGCTAAATGTATTTATGCTAGCTTTTCAAGCCTAAGGTATAAACATAAATAAGTATCACTAATATATTCTCATCATTACTATCCCTTTCACTGAATGTGTGAGATGAGAGAATGTGTTTTAATATAAGTTGCTATGTTTTAACTGTGATAACTATAAGTGTATATTATTTATCATCTAATATGATTTGCAGCAGATAAGTCCCCGTCCATAAGTCTGGTGCTGTGCCCGATTGTTGTACACCCTTGTATCCCCCACAGGGTATGTGTATATGTCTTTTATGTCCATGTATTTGTATATAGTACCATCACGTAATGCGTGGTGACGAATCATGTACTTTTATCATTACGACTAATGCGTAATGGTGTATTATAATCTATCTTCTGTGTATTACATTGTATGCATGTATCATCATTACGTTATTCATAATGCTGTAATTTCATAATGCCCATATTCCATATGTGTTGTAAATAATGGTATTCATGCTTTGAGTATTATTGATAATTGTCCATATGTATTAACCCGTGTATGGAATTATATGTATCTTGTATGAATTGGGTGAGATGTATATAATATTATTATATGTATTGTTACAGGGTGTCGTTTAACATTCAGCAATGTTTCATCCTATGAAATAAACAACCTCACACCCCAGCAGAGTGTTGGTAGTCTATGGCCACGTTGACCCTGCTATATTTGGAGCCCCCAGTGAGGATTGTTTCGGGCATGGATGAACCGGGCAGCACCTAGAGATACTCTTGGACAACTGGACTATTGTGATCTGTGTTAACGTCATCATTGGATGATGACCAGTGATATGACACTGTGACCTTGACCTTCTTGGAGAGCCTGTGACTCTTTTGTGACCTTTATGTGTATAGTGACTTGTGTTTTCAGGTACATGTATTTGGATTGAGGATTATCATGGACACTTCACGTGAGTTATAGCCTTTGTGTAATATGTACCTGGCGTAATTTTCATGTAATATATATTCATTGTTTGTGTTAATTCATTGTGTAATTTAACTTTTCATACTTTTACTTAATATTCTCATGTTATTTTCAGTTATGTAACTCAAGTTACGTAATTACTGCCGGCTTATATATTTAGTGTATTATCTTCATCGTTGGTACCAACACTTAGTATTTATCATGTAACTATTTTTGTGTGTTTATATTTGTAGTTAACTTAGTTGTTTCAATTTAGATTAGTTTAGTTTAGTTTAGTTTAGTTTAGTTAAGGTTTAGATTTTGATTAGCATAGTGCAATGTAATACCATGTAGCATTTCAGTTTTTTCATAGGTATAGTTTGGGGTTTATCTTAGTTTATTTGTGTTTAGTGCAGTTAGTTGGTTTTTGCTCTTTGTTTTACGTAGTGTAATG